ATATATAACCTTTATGTAGCAGAAGCGAATATTTGCCCGTATCTTTTAGCCGACGGCTACTAAAGTCGTTGGTATCCTCCACGCTCTAAAACTCGAGCCGCCTCGTGATGGTTTCGGCTCAACAAGAGATATATGCACTAAAAGTTTATTTGTTTTCTCTAACTTGTTTTCTTCTCGTATTGTCTCCCTTTGAAGATGCACAAAGCATCAATTTATAGTTGTCATCATGCAACTATTCACTTAATGAAGACATGAATTCACACTTCATAACTCAATACATAATGGAGATGAGGTAGTAACACCACCACATTTAAGTGGATGTTACCAATTGATGTAAGATTACATCAATTAAAATCAAAAGCTTGGATATATACTTTCGCCCGTACGCACTTAAATACTTCTGCTCGATGGCCATGGAACGTCTAGTCATATGACTCTAGTGCATCTAGTATAATTTGTCCATAGGCACTTTGCATGTACATACAATCATAATCATATCAAGCGATTTACATGAGTAAGAACGTAGAAATCCTTCCTCGATTTGTTGTACTCAAAAGGAAAGGTCAAATGCACGCCTCAAGAACTCGACTCCTCGATATCTACATGATAAAATTATTTAACATAATTACACATTTTACTCACAGCGTAATACAATTGATTTAATTAAATTTAAATTAGAGGTTCGGCTTAAGGTTTGGAAAAGCCAGCTCTCGTGGTGCAAATGTTAGGGAAGGGGGGTATTGATATGTTCATATGCCCGTGCTGCATTGAACATATAAGACCACGTAATTTAAATAAATATATGTTGATACATAAAAGTTTTATGATAATATTAATGTTAATGTTAATAAGGTAAACTAGGTAGCACTTAGCAAATTCTAGATTGAAGTTCTTGGCACATCCGCATTGGCGTGGGTGTATGACCACTTAAATGAAGGAACAACAATTAATACAGATGTAACCATTCATCTGGTTGAGAAAAAAAGGGCCCCACCTTCTGCCCGGGGAATGTCTAGCTACTTCTAGAACACTGGTCTCACAAAAGAAGTACAAATTGAAAATAGAATTATAAAAGAACTTGATGAGGGAAGAAAATATGCCAAGGTGAGAGTTGCTTTTTTCGCAAGATAAATACACACCGTAATGTGTTTACAGATTCAGGCGTCTCATCCCTAAAGTAGATACAATGACTACGTCTGAGAAGCAGTAACAATACTTCAAGACTTTCGAGTCCCGACTAACTTAAACGGAACAAGAACATGGGGCTTTCAGAGTTGAGACCAGATCATGTATGTAGTGTGTTTTTGCTTCTAGACATGTTGTATTTATTGGACTTCCACTGAGTAAGTTTAGCCTTGTAAGAATAAGACAACCATTATTAATATAGTGATGATGAAACTATTAAGTATAAATGAAATAAACATAGACATGTCCATTAAAATTATGAAATCCATTCCCCATGACTTCCTTACCCCCAACCGTTACCAATTTACCTTAAGTAATCGCAAGAAAATCAACAATCTGCTACCTCATGAGGCGGCAAGTGATCATTATTAACCTTGACGCCATCAGCCCGATCACGATCCTTGCAAAATTCACGGAAATTTGCGACCCTCCCGAGCTCCTCCACCTCCTCAATCACCAGCTCCAGCCTGGCCACTGCCTCCACTAGCAATGATGCAAACGCCGCAAATGGTAGGGCCTCCGACAACTCCAAGCTCATTATTATCTCAATATTCTTGCTCTGTGTCGGCCGCAATGACGACAATTTCCCCTCATCACTCTTAACGGTCTTGAGGGATGATGACACTGTGTTGGAGGAGAGGAGGGAAAGGCGAGGTTGGGACTTGAGAGCAGCGTCGAGGTCCTGCAAAGCTTGGTGGAGGTGGTCCGAGAGGATTGCGGGGGAGCACTGCCGGTGGTCTCTTATGCTGCCGGCTAGCTCGACGAGTGCCTTATGTAGTTCGGCTGCCACCCGGGTGCACGGGTCTTTGAAGAGGGCGCGTATAGATTTCGGAGTCTGCTTAATTGGACCAACAAGAGATTAGTTAAATAAAAATAAGATATATATTGGAATTGCTCATGTACAACTTGACCATTTATACCCTACATGCTGATTGAAATGACAAAATATATTAAACTAGTTCCATAACTTTAGAGATGTTCAATATTGAAATATTATAGATATAACACTATAACATAAATGTTATATTCCAACGGAAAATCCCATGGTAATATATTCCAATGGAAATTCCAACGGATATTCCAATGGAATAGCTTCCGTTGGAATTCCAACAGAAATTCCAACGGAAATATTCCGTTGGAATGTGTTTTTCATTGGAATTTTAGATGGAATTTGATGATTTTAACGGCTATATTTCCAACGGCTTTTTACCGTTGGAATATGCAAATTCCGTTGGAATTTTTTTTTCCACCCCCATTGGAATCGTCAAAATCCAACGAAAATTCCAATGGAAAACCCATTCCAACGGAATATTTTCGTTGGAATTTCCGTTGGAATCTGTTGAGAGAAGATGACAATATGGCACACGAATTAAAAAAAAAACGAGAAAAGTACACAAGATTTACGTGGTTCGGCAATGTGCCTACGTCCACGGCGGCTGAGGGATCTTTTATTATTCTCAATCGTATCAAATACATCAATACACCATGTATTTATACTAAAACCCTACAAGGTATAAATTTACTTAAATACCCTGTACCGTACCGCGGGGGCTCTGCCCCCGCACCCCCGGCCCAACTAATCGAACCATCCCAACAAGGGCGCGACCGAGCGAAGTGAGCGGAGTGGAGCGAGCAGGCATCAGCCTGCCCTCTTCCTTTGTCAATATATGAGCCATACCAACAAATCTCCACCTTGGCGAATATATCACCTCCTTAGGAGAACACAATAGCGAGCATCTCTGCGAGACACACCAAGCAGGCCGGGGGTACCATGCAACTCTAGCATGCAGAAACATTCAACAAATCCAAGCAATGCTTGAATTTGTCAGAAGTAACAGTCTTAGTCAACATATCAGCAGCATTCTCTTCAGTATGAACTTTCAACTGAATATCACCAGATGCAATCCATTCCCTAATCTTGTGGAACCTCACATCAATATGCTTCGTCCTAGCATGATATATCTGATTCTTAGCCAAATGAATGGCACTCTGACTGTCACAATGTACTAGAACTCCACCTTGCTGAATACCCAACTCTCTAACCAATCCAGCAAGCCACACTGCTTCCTTTGACGCTTCAGCCAAAGCAATATTCTCAGCTTCAGTTGTAGATGGAGCAACTATAGGCTGAGTATTCGACCTCCAACAAATAGGCCCTCCACCAAAAGTAAAGACATACCCAGTGGTAGATCTCCTATTATCCAAGTCCCCAGCATAATCAGAAT